ATAGTGAAATGGGTTATTTTGGAAATATGACCTTGAATTTGGGTCATTTCCATGTATTTCCCCTTTTTGTTCTACTTCGCCTCAATTGATTTACCTTTAGTCGAAGAAGGCAAGTGGTTTTATTTTCGACCAGAAAAACAGGTGATTCTTGTAGAAAATACTTATCTTTCATAAGTTCATTACATTCCATGAATTTATTTAAAAGAAAATATCTGTCCTCAATTACTGTACCAGCTAATGAGAGCAAAGTATAGCGCTAAAAAACCCACTTTTACATCAGAAGAAAAAGATGACTTAAAAATGGGAAACGTTAGATCAACATGTTCCTTCACCTCAGCATCCCTACAATTGGAACCTGTTTTACAAAACCCTTCCCGAGCTACTCCACGACGATATGTAAAAATACAATTTGACAGTCCAGCAACTATTTTAAAAAAAAATCTAAGACTTCTAATGAATCACTGTCTCATGAACCTAGTTGTCGGATAAAAATTTTCATGACGTAATCCAGAATGCTAACTGATGCTCCACCTCTTCCCAATTGTGAACCTTGGTGACAAGAGGATGTCGATTAACAGACTCCATCTTGGACCAAGGATACGAATTCTCATAATCGAAAAGAAGAACCTTAATCCCGACTTCAGCACACTCAATTGCGTATCTTGGATTGTCGTCAATCAAAACCTTTGCTCCCAAGGACCTGCCAGAAACAAAGCAAAACCATCTCTTTCCCGATCAATATGCTGGCAGATCAATAAATAATGACTATTCTAGAAGTTTCACAATAGCCTAGAGTATACAGCAATTTAATGACATGCTCGTCTTTATTTGAGCATCAAGCATTTGGATATATCAAGGAAGGGTACAACGTGAATTGCAATAACATGCTAATGAAACTATCAGAAGTTGAATAATATACTTGCAAATGTCTGATTTAGGTCGGGACTGTCCATCCAAGGCAAAGTGATTGCCAAACTGGATCTCCTTAAACAACCCCGGATAATGTCTCTCAATCCATTCAATTGTATGCTCCTTAATTGCATTCTGTCGGGACCTGTGCAGGATTAATAAATGACAATTAGTTTCAAAGATGAATTGAAAAAAAGTCGAGCATTCAAGGGTTAAGGATACCTACGTAACAACTGACAGATCACAAAATTTGGACAACTTTTGAAGAGCTTTCTGGGAACCTGGAATTGGATGTATCCCTTTCTTAAAATAAGGTGTCTTAAAGAATTCATGCACGCGTATATCAGCTGTCAAAGAAAAATGACGATGTTCTTAGTCAGGCTGTCAAGTTAGAAACTCAGGCAGGCATGGTGGCTTGTTGAAAGCCAAAATGTAAGTATTTGCTACACAAAGATCTAAACATTTTCAACAAATTGCCAAACTGTCGAGCAATAATTTCTAAAGAAGGGTATATTATGTTATTAAGTAAACAAAAGACTTGCACTTATGCAGTTAAGCAGCAAGGGAAATCTTAGCAGTATCTCATACTAGCATCAACAGCAGTCATGGGTAATGATCCACACAAAACTTTTAGTAACCAAAATAATTCATATATGAAACCGGGAAAGAAGGGAGTGGGCATTGAAGCAGAAAGAATATATAGCACCTAATAAGTTCCAGGTAGTAGGACCAAAATACACATTGAAAAGGCGAGGTATTCCATAACACATTACCCTCCCAAAATTGGAAGTAAACCAAAACATTGTAGACAGCTAAAAGTGCATTCAGAAGTTCTGCATATCGAGGAAAATAAAATTTAAAGGCTTAATTGAATTACAATCAAGCCACATTATCTGAAAATTGCGAGAAAAGAGACAGCACGAAAAAATAATCAATTGAGTTATCAACTAGATGAATAAGCAAACAGTTCTATCACAAAGAAAACAAATCTTATTAGTTGTGTGTTTCAATCTAGTAAACACAATCTTTACGGATACCTTCATCCTGAGAACAGTTCCATATCTGCAAGATTTATAAAATAAAATATGATCAGGTATGCAAAGGTATGATTTATTTACGGCTATAAGAAAAAAATGAATAGAAATAAGTAATATACTGCTGTTCAAGATCCATAACATATTTTTAGCACCCAATTTACATCTTAAACAGTGGAATATATATAAGTATGAAATGCAGTTTCAACCCAATACAACATCCCGAGTGGTGAGCACTTCCAGGGGCGGAGCCCAATGAGGTGCCCACACTGAACTTCTGGGCCCAACCCCATGGCCTAGAATTTTTTTTTTTTTTTTAATTAATATGTCAACTTCCAGCCTAAGAGTAAAACCCAAAACCATTGCCAATACACACTACCCTAATGTAAATGGTCCAAGACCACTACCTAACCCAATCAATTTAGTTCAAAACATCAGACTCGTAGCCTCCATTTCAATTCATTCTCCTCCACCTCCGCCCTCTGGCCTCTGCTTCGCCACCTCCGCCCCTGTGTCCAGGTAATTGAAGTTTTCTCTTCTCGTTAAGCTCTCAATACACATCTCTAGGTATTATAAACATTTTTGGTGCTCGCCAATCGCCACAGGTATGTCTGCTGTCCTGGTCATATGTCTTGCAGTGGGAGGTGTGGAGAAGGCAGTTGCCCCAAATTTTGCCATGCCACAAAGGTAAATAATAGATTGATTTTGGCGGTGACCGTTGTTTTTGTAGTCATTGTTTTTCTTCTACTACTACCAAGTTATATTGATATTATTATTGTTTAAACTAATGCTGCTTGGTTTCAAGAGAAGCCTTTTTTATGAAATGGTAAATGTTAATTCATTAAAGCATGGTACAAATTGTCAAAAAAAACTTGCGTTGGACATTTCATATTAATTTGGCCTCTGTTTGTGGTTTTTTTCTTCTCTCTCTAGAATATTTATATCATATGATTTAAAATCAAAGGAATTAGTTTTTTTTTTTTTTTTGCGATTAGGTTCCAATTGCAAATGGTGTTCCGTTCTAGCCTTTCTGGAATGCAAGATTATTTGTTATTTTGATTTGTGTAATGTTTGAAATTTTTCTTTTTATCATATGAAATTAGCTCTTTGAATTCCTCTTGAATTGCTTTTGAATTGTTCTTGAAATTTGACCTAGAAGCCGGTGAAGACTGACCCGAGCCCAAAGCCTACTCATTGCTCTTGAGTTGCTTTAGCTTCTAGTTCCAGTATTGCTGTCTCTGTGATTTGTGAAAGCATTCTGTGAATTGCATTATGAATTGATGTGAATTGATTCCAGTATTGTTGTGTGGATTACGCTGTGAATTACTTTGCTTTTGCTTCCAATATTTGTGATTCTATCATTCTGAATTGCTTCCAGTAATTGAAAGTTGTGAATTGTTCAAGGGATGAGATTAGATCATTGGAGTTTGGTGAACTTAATTGAGAGTATTTGATTTGCTTTTACTTAATACTTGATTTGGGCTTAACTTGTTGTTTTATATTTTTATCATCATTAAATTCATGACCAAAACTCAAAGTTCGGAGTCGACTAAATTGTGTCCACGCTGAACCAAATTCCTGGCTCTGCCCTTGAGCACTTCCGCTATTGTTACAATAACAGGAGTCTCTTACAACAAGGACACTTGACTCTGTCCAGAGAAAGCATCCATCTTAAATCTTAAAAAAAATACAAACTCAGATGAAGTGTCAAGTCCTCAAAACTAATTGAGCTTGGGCAAAGAGAAAAATTTAATTTGTATGAACTTGAAATGCAGGTGCGGCGATTGGACTACATATACACCTAGGAAAATGAAGGAAGGAATGTGCTATGAATGAGACCTAGAAGACAGGTTCTCACTATCAGGATCTGGGTTCTATGTTTCACTGGAATAAATGCTGTGAAATCATGACAAAGGTCAAAAAGACACAAAATGGAGGCCAGTGGCCTTTCCGTCTCTTCCCCTTCTCCTACCCTCTCAGAAAACAAGGCCAACAATCACTGCAGTAAAAATTTAACTCTCGTGATAAAAAAGCAAGATCTAACTTGAAGCTCAAGTAATAAATCAACAAAATGTTAGTCCATCAAGGATGGGGCCCCATAATACCACCCCAATTCTACAAAATTCTTTCAAAAACCAATCACACAGATGACAGGAAAGCTGCTATGGTGACTAAAGCAGTTGTAACCCGAGGTAGTGGTACAACTGCAGTCTTTGGTTAATTTATTGCTTTCTTTTTTGGCAGTTGACCAATTAACCATTTGTTAGAAAAAATGAAGAAGCTAGAAATAGATGAAGGATGGGAGCAGAGGAAGAGGATAACAAGACTAGCCAGAGTAAGGGTGAGAGCAACAAAAGGAGTAGGATCAAGATACACAAAGAGAAGTCACAAGGGGAAGGTTTCTGATGTACTTGACCCTGCTCGTATTAAATCCCCTAAGCAAGTATTTCCATAACAAGTTATACACCCAAGTTATAAAACAGATAATACATAATTAAAGATGTGATACTGACTCTTATATTTAATGCTTCTTTATTGAATTCTTTTTATGTGTATCAAACCATTAGCTTGACCGATGCTGACACTTGTATTTGACAAAGGATATGTTTTGGTGCTTATGAAGTTGGAGTTCACAAGTTAAGCATCTGTTGATGCATCACCCCAAGAAATCCTTTGTAGAAGTGGAAAAATGATCAATCCTAACTTTTTTCCTCAAGTTGGTGGATGAAGTGATCAAAGTTCTTGTCATAGACTAGCCATCTGAATTTTCGATATCTGCCACACTAATCAAGGTTTGCCATCAGTGATCAAATGAGCATATGGATACTCCATTAAATAGAAATCAAGAGCATGTTGCTTTGTGAATGTGTGAGAAGCGAGCAAATATGATGCAAGCAAGTATATACAACACAGACTTGTTAAAGACGAAATGGTACCTTAAAAAACTCATAGACGTGGTATTCAGAAACTGAGTGATTCAGAGAATATTGATCCGCAATGAATTGATTGAGAGCTGATACAAAATTGCCAAGAACTGCCAACAAAGACAGAAGAAATGTATAGATATAAGTAGGATGATCACAATGACTTACACAGCTTGAATATTTCCAAACTCAAACAGTAGAAAATTACACCGGAAGAGAAAATCGAATACCCTCATCAACATCAACCGCAACCATTATTTTCTCGGGCAAGAGCTGATCCGGAAATCCAGTCGAGCTTCCTCTATTGGTAGAGCCACCATCACGAGAGCCATTAAAGGCCCTATAATCCACACTGTTTTCCCTGTCCTCCACCCTTACATCCGCCTCTAAATCACAGAGAAATTGCGGCAAGCACGGACCAAAAGCCCTTGCCTTCTGCACCCCGTTACTGTTACTAAAAACATCATTATCACTACTCCGAAATTTATTGCCATACGTATCCGAGGAACAGCATTTAAACTTGATAAAACTCAGCCCATTAACAAACCTTCCACTGCTTGTATCAATGCTTGATGCAGTAGATGAAAGCCTTCTCACAGACAATATCTGGAAATCTCTTTGGCCCACCAAAATATTCGAGGCTGCCGCCATAAAATAACCCCTCAAATAACTGATATTACGATTAAAGCTCGCGCTCGATGTAAATAATAAATAGCGCCTCTTTATCATACCGATTCCTGATGCATTTTCCGGAAGTTTAGCATCCCAACTTCATATTTTTTTTATGCAAATTAATACTCCCAAACAGGAAAAAGTGTATTTAGGTTACAAAGAAAAATTCCGGAAAATCAAGGAATTGAGGGGGGAGCGGGAGGAACATAGCCCTAGCATATGCAAAAGAATAGAAGTATTTATAAAGTGCAGAATCTTAAAATCAGAAAATTAATTAAAGAATCGATATTCTTGATGGGCCCCGGGAAGAAAATTTTAGAATTTATAGGTAAAAGAAGTGTGGAAGAACAATATTATAAAAAAAGTGAAAAGGAAATGAACAAAATCTCCATTAACTTTGAGGACCTGAGGTTTGGAGGGATTTCAGTTTGAAGAGGCGGAGAGAGATTTTCAATGGATGTGCGAGCAAAGAGGGCAATGATAAATGATGGATGTCACCGTTTGAGTAAAATAATGGAATTTCACAATTTCAATATAGAAAAATGCTGAAAGTACAGGGAAATTTTGACAGAAAATGTACAGAATTTTGAATTTTTCAGTCACATGGTGCGGGCCCCATGTATAAAATATTGGAAAAAAAATTCTGCTCCCGCCATGAATTGTGAGTGTTCTGTAGGTACAGGAATTTTGAATTCTTGTACCTATAGCTTGGTTCTTCAATTTACATGAACGGAGAAGAGAGAAGTGCGACTAATAATGAATTGTCACGATAGTTTATCATAGTAATAAATAGCGTTATTCGTTTATTTATACCTTTCTTTTTTTTCCTTCAAAATTTCGTAAAGAAATGGATTAAAATTTTAAAAATGATTGATTTACCTTTCAATTTTGAGTGGATGACAATATTTTATTTTGTAATAATTGAGAAACTTGATCTCCACGTTTTGCTTTCATCACATCACTTTCTCGTGTTTAATTAAGCGTCTATCCGGACGGGATTTTGGCGAAAGATTTTAATTCATTTTGTTTTCGTTATACAGTGATTTTCAGTGAAGGTAGCCGCAATAATTGACTGAATTAATTAAAATGATCAATGTGCCCTTTAACATTTAATTTCTTATTTTGGGCATTGGTATTTGGTGATTTGAGCAATTAATAATAGCCGCAGAAATGGGACCCATCCTTGTGTCCAATGTTCAAAAATGTTTATTAAAATCTTCACAAAGTTGTAGCGAGGGCTAAAGTTAGAGTTTTGTTACACTTACATCTTAGTTGACATTTCATGACGTAACACACAGTTTTTTCATTGATTTTAAAAACACTTAAAACAATCAATTACCTTGATTTTTACACATCGTGAACTATCCACCATAATGTACAAATAAAATATACAAGTAGCTTAATTCTTAAATTTATTTCTATATGAAATGTTTATTTCATTTTTTGTTGAAAAAGCTTCAAAAGAAGTCAATTTTTTTTTTAATTGATACATAACATTTTTTTATTGATTGTCTTTATTGTGCATGTCAACTATCATTTTGCTTTGGCATTTGGAACCTCATTTTGATCACTCTTTATGAAAATCACCATTGTCATATTGTTCCCTCCATGAACTTTGCTACACAAACAGGGAAATTGGACAGAATTTAAAAAACAGATACATGTGTCCAACACTGATTGGACAGTTTGAATTTTTAAAAAAAAGAAAAAACACTCAATTCATTTCTGCCAACTCGGGGAGTCACGACACCCTGTTTATATTCCCTGTTTGAGCAGAATTATTCTCCCTCCATTAAGTGGTCGCTTGCAATCCACTCGTATCATGTTGGGGTAAGGACATTTTGGTCGAGAGACTAAAACTGTAGAGAACATATTTGTTTTAAGCTTAAGTTGGTTGAATAAGGGTCATATCAACAAGAAACGTACAAAAACCAAACAAAAATAAAAATTGCTCCTTGTCGTCGTCAATGTATACTTTCCATTATGCACTGTATTACGCCTCTAGGTAAGTTCTAGATGGCCAATATTTTTTACTCTTCGTCAAAATAAAATGGGATTTTTGTTGAGTTAATTTTAATAAAAAAAATTTGTTTTTCCATTGATTTCAAAGATGGAGTTTTTCTCCAGTGAAGATTTTTCTTTCTTTTCAGATTGAATTTGTGCAGTATTCAGATTATATTTTCTACTTTTGTTAAACATTTTTGTAATTTTCCGTTTTAATGATGCATGTTGGGTCTTGACGCCCAATAAATTTCGGGTGATATTAAAACGATGTTGGATAACTTATATCGACACCTTAGTGATGGCTCAACTTGAAAATAACTTAGATCGCTTGAAGAAACTTAATTAAGTTAAGGAAAAATTACCTAAAACCTTACATTTTAATTTCCAATTTCAAAAATCAGTTACTAAATATTTTTATTCAATAATCAGGTTACAATTATTTTTTAATTTAAAAACACAACATTATACCCACACTACAACCAACCACCCTCATAAATATCTTCTTCCGCCCCCCGGGGTACATCCAAGTTCGCAAAGGATGGGCACTGCTGGGCTACTTCAAAAGAAGTCAATTTTTTTTTGAATTGATACATAACATTTTTTTATTGATTGTCTTTATTGTGCGTGTCAACTATCATTTTGCTTTGGCATTTGGAACCTCATTTTGATCACTCTTTATGAAAATCACCATTGTCATATTGTTCCCTCCAGGAACTTTGCTACACAAACAGGGAAATTTGACAGAATTTAAAAAACAGATACATGTGTCCAACACTGGTTGGACGGTTTGATTTAAAAAAAAAACACTCAATCATTTCTGCCAACTCGGGGTGTCACTGACACCCTGTTTATATTCCCTGTTTGAGCAGAATTATTCCCCCTCCAGATGCTCCATTAGGTGGTCGCTTGCAATCCACTCGTATCATGTTGGGGTAAGGACATTTTGGTCAAGAGACTAAAACTGTAGAGAACATATTTGTTTTAAGCTTAAGTTGGTTGAAGAAGGGTCATATCATCAAGAAACATACAAAAACCAAACAAAAATAAAAATTGCTCCTCGTCGTCGTCAATGTATACTTTCCAGTATGCACTGTATTACGCCTCTAGGTAAGTTCTAGATGGCCAATATTTTTTACTCTTCGTCAAAATAAAATTGGATTTTTGTTGAGTTAATTTTAATTTAAAAAAAAACGTTTTTCCATTTATTTCAAAGATGGAGTTTTTCTCCAGTGAAGATTTTCTTTCTTTTCAGATTGAATTTGTGCAGTATTCAGATTATATTTTCTACTTTTGTTAAACATTTTAGTAATTTTCCGTTTTAATGATGCATATTGGGTCTTGATACCCAATAAATTTCGGGTCATATTAAAACGATGTTGGATAACTTGTATCAATATCTTAGTGATGGCTCAACTTGAAAATAACTTAGATCACTTGAAGAAACTTAATTAAGTTAAGGAAAAATTACCTAAAACCCTACATTTTAATTTCCAATTTCAAAAATCAGTTACTAAATATTTTTATTCAATAATCAGGTTACAATTATTTTTTAATTTAAAAACACAATATTATACCCACACTACAACCAACCACGCTCATAAATATCTTCTTCCATACCCCCACCTAACCACACCTGATTCCATGCACAATTAAACCCAATTCAGTTTTATACCCATTTTAACACCATAGTCTTTCTTTAATCCATTTCCAATTCTTGAATCACCACTACCGAGCCACGTCGATTTGAACTTCACGAAGTGAATAGGCATCAGCTCTGTCTCTTCTCCTTCTCTCTCCTCAATCATTGTCGTCGCTACTAAATCATCAGCCCTTGCTGCGCGGACTGCTGTGAAGACGCCACCACCACCGCGCTGAAGACGCCAATTCCGAGAGGTGGCGATTTGAACTTCGCGAAGTTGTTCGCCCTTCCGTTGCTACAGTTCGGGAGTGAAGATCCATTCTTCTTCTCCTTTTTTAAGTGGTGTGATGATGACGGTTCGGTGGTGGAGGTGTGCGGTGCGATGGTGGGTGCGGCAGTGATGTGCTCTGTGGTGCTATAGGTGCGATGGTTGACTGAATCGTGTGGTGATGTGTGCATTTGAGGTGGTCGTGTGCGGTGCTATGGCGATGGTGGTGGAGGTTCGGTGGTGTTTTTTTACGACGGTGTTGTGTGCAGTGTCATGGCGGCGGTGGTGGAGGTGTGCGGGGCGGTGGTAACGAAGATTTCTGGTGGTGCTGTGGTGGAGGTAGAGGTGTGAGGTGTCGCAGCAATGGTAGTGGTGGTGGAAATGTCATTGCAATACTTCGTAGCATAATCCGTAATTGTATGCCACCACATTTTGTAAATGTTTGATCGAAGTTGGTCTTCCTGAATTTCTTGATGGTNGAAGATTTCTGGTGGTGCTGTGGTGGAGGTAGAGGTGTGAGGTGTCGCAGCAATGGTAGTGGTGGTGGAAATGTCATTGCAATACTTCGTAGCATAATCCGTAATTGTATGCCACCACATTTTGTCTATGTTTGATCGAAGTTGGTCTTCCTGATTTTCTTGATGGTGTTGGTCGTAAATTTGAGTTGAAAGTGGTAGTGGTGGTGCAATGGAGGTGATGGTGGTAATGACTGGTGGTGGATTGTGGTGCTTGTTTGTGGTGTAAGCGGATTTGTTTGTGGTGACCATTTGTGACAAATTTTGTGTTAATTGTGACTAGTTGTAACCAATTCTGTGTTAATTGTTATTGTTTGTGACTTGATCACAAACAGTCACAATTAAGATTGATTTGGTCACAGACAATCACACGGAATACAAATTTGGTCACTTAATTTTTGAAATTTTTTTGCAAGGTAGGGGTGGTGTAGGTGAATCCATAGATTGGGGGTGTGATTTCCAATTTTTAGTTTCTGGAAATTTTTTGGAAAGTGGGGTGGGTGGGTGGGTGGGTGAGGTATGGATAATTAATTATATATTATATATATTGGTA